CACTGCTGTATGCCTTTGGCCATGTGAAAATATTCGAAATAAAATGTGGAAAATGCCGTATAATCAAAATCAGTTTGTTGTTTTCCCAGTGATACATACTTAGAAATGACCAATAATGCGATCTTTAAAATAGGATATTAAGATTTTTCAATGATATAAAATAAATAACTTATTATATATTATAAGATATCTGTATAAATATGTATTATTCTTTTTGATGATAAGTATATATGTAGGGATAAAAGTCATAGTAGTGTAAATCAAAGTTTTAAAAATATTGACTCGTGTGCATAGATGCAATTATATATTGTATATGGATTGCATTTACGTACACGAGTCAATATCTTACAAATTTTGACTTACACCGCTATGGCTTTTATCTCTCCATATATATATCGAAGTTAGGTTGAGAACCTGTAATATACTGTGTCTTGCCTTTACATGTATATTTAGACACAGATATATAATTGCCATATATTTGTATTCTTACGTTCACAGTAAAGACTAGTATTATATTAATCACCAGTAGTTCTGTGTAGTATTAATCACTACCTATAATATTTATCACTACCAGTATTTTCCCAGTATTTCCCAAATAAATATTGACAGTATTAAATCACTGAGATTTTAAGTATTTAGTCAGTAATACTTTTCTGTAAGGGACGTGCGTAAATTTTCATCTTCCAGCACTAGTATAAATTCAGGGTTGGGAAGTAACGCATTACTTGTAACGTCGTGACCATTACCGTTATGGAAAAACGTCATGTCATTACCAAATCGTTACTATAAAAAGATAACGGTAATGGTAACGGCGTTACTTACAATTAGTACTGTTTTATGAATGGATAAACTTCCGTGAAGCGAGCGCATCGAAATATAATATAGAGGCACGTGGCTCACGAATGTATATCCTTGTAAAAAAACGGTGCTGATTGGATAAACTTTATTTATATATAATTTATTACAAATATAGTAATTTTATTTTTTTTATTTCAGCCAAAAGTGAGGAAGGTGTGGCGAACAAGCTGCCGCCACCGACCCCATCGACGACGACAGCAACGGCGAAAATGCCGCCTCCGCCATCGACGACGACAGCAACGGCAAAAATGCCGCCGCCGCCTCTGCCATCGACGACGACAGCAACGGCGGCAATGCCGCCGCCGCCTCCGCCATCGACGACGACAGCAACGGCGGCAATGCCGCCGCCGCCTCCGCCATCGACGACGACAGCAAATGCGGCAATGCCGCCGCCGCCTCCGCCATCGACACCGATGCCACCGACGATGACGCCACCGCCGCCGCCACCGCCGCCGCCACCGCCGCCGCCACCGACACCGTCGCTACCACAAAGCGAGGAGAGAAAGCGAGCAAGCGCAATGCATAAGGTAAGTAGAGTAAGGGCCGCTATAGCAATGTAGCAAGCGTGCATGCATGCGTCGATTAAAATGATTCACCCTATACATATACACATTTTTTTTTACAGATCGCAAATCATGTAGTGCGTCGAGCGCTGCAGAATCAGCGGAGAAACCTAGGGAAAAACATGAAGTACGCCGGTGGAGTACACGCGCAGCCAGCGTATACTCCACCGACGGCGTACACGCCGCCACAGCCAGCATACACGCCGCTACAGCCAGCATACGCGCCCCCATACGCGCCGCCATACGCGACGCCATACGCGCCGCCGTACGCGCCGCCATACGCGCCGCCATACGCGCCCCCGTACGCGCCGCCATACGCGCCGCCGTCGGCGTCAAGATGGCCTTATATATAATCATTATATAAACTATAATAAATAGAGTTTCTTGTTCTAAATTACATTACCGTTTTTCTTTCTTCAAATATACCCTAGAATCCTAACACCACTCTTCCAGAAAATCCTGATTTTACCATACTAAGAGTAGCTACCCAGTGTACTTGTAAGAGAGAGAGAGAGAGAGAGAGAGGGACAGGGATGAGAGAAGGGGAGAGAAAGAGAGAGAGAAATAAATGGGTGCATGCAAATTACATACATAGGAGAGAAAGAAATAATACGAGAGATATATGTCCTTGTCTAACGAGGCATCTGTACGACATATCTCTCAAAGCTTGTTCTTTGAAACGGCTTCATAGATCGCAAAATCCTTTTACAGGAGTAAAGTTTAGGTACTAATGAAGGGTGGGATTGTAAAATAATTAGTAATAATTGAAAAAA